AATAATACACTATTTCTTAACAGATCTACTCTTAGCAACTAAGGTTGTCCATATTGTTCTTTTCTTATAAAGTTATTCTAAACAAGTATGTATGATCCTTGAATCCTATTGAGGTTCATATTGATGGTGTGGATGTCCGTAATGTTAATCGAAGGTGCGACGACCTTGCGTCACTCCAAAAGGACTAGAACATGATTCCATGAGTCCAACATGCATTATATATATGTATCTATTTTACTCTACCGAGCTGTGCTATAGTCGGCCAGGGTACGACACCTATTGTGCAATCACTGATCATTTGGGTTTTACCGAGTTCCACATGGCTGGGTACGATTCTACCAAGACTTATGATGGTAGAGTATATTTTTACCGAGCCTATTACGACGGGGTACGATATGATGATGCCTACAGAGGCATATATTTTTAAAAGTATATGTATATATATGTACCATGCATTTCATGTCAATCGCCCTCAGAGGCACTCAAATGTTACATGTTGTATATTCTCTATCTCTCTTTACATCACTGTTCTTATTTGTGCTTTCATGCCTTGCATAATCGGTACTTTATTCGTACTGAGTACCTTTTACCTGGAACACTATATTTCATGCTCGGATGTCCCGATAGACAGGTTGAAAGTCCTCTTAGTAGGCTATCAGCTCAGCGGAAGGTGTTGGTGCACTCCACTTGCTCCGGAGTTGCCTATTTGATCAGTATGCTTTTGACATCTATTGATTAGTATGGTGGGGCCCTGTCCCGACCTTTATAATGTTTATGTACTCTTAGAAGCTTGTGGACATATGTCATATATATGGATACTTGTATGTCCTTGTCGGCCTATGTTTTGAGTGTACAAATAATCATGTCGGCTATGTCACATGTATAGATTTGTATATCATGTTGGGTCGTCCTATGTCGAGTGTTCCCTTATGTTTTATTATGTTTTTCTCATGACGGCCTTTCCGGCTCATTTACCTATGAAGTGTGATAAGAAAGATATGTTACATTGGTACTCGGCTGAGTAAGACATCGGGTGCCCGTCGCGGCCTTTCGCTTTGGGTCGCGACAATCCAATTAGCTCACAAAGGGGTACAAATATAAGAAATATAATAGCATGAGGCTTAACAATCAATTAAAGACATATTGTAGTCTAAGCACTACTCTAAGCAAGGATAATACCCTGGTGCACGCACATGGGCTCAACCCCACACATGTGTGCCACCCATAACACGTAGCTATCAGTAATAACTAAGGCAACTAGTGCCTCAACCAAGTTTAGGTAAGATACTTACCTCAAACAAGCCTAATCAATAATCTAAAAACGCTTTCCTACGTGAATTGACTTCGGAACGACTCGAATCTAGCCAAAGGTAGTTCAAAAACATTAATAATGCCATAGAAATAAAACCCAAACGATAACGATCAGATCTTTAATCAAATACTCAAAGTCAACCATAACATTAACTAGGACCCGCACCCCGATACCCCCACAAAGGTCACAAATTATGATACTCATACGAATGCGAGTCCAACCATAGAAGTTTCATCCAAATCCGACTCTAAATCGATGTTCAAAACTAAATTATTCACTTTTGAAAAGTTTTGCCCCCCCCCCCCCCCCCCCCGATTTCCTCTTTTAGATTCACCAATCTAATGCCAGAATCAAAGATAGAATTATGAATAATAATCAAATCCAAGTTAAAAAACATACCCAATCCAAGTGGGTAAAATTACCTCAAAAACTCATCTCAATCCGAGTTTCCAATCTCAAAATATGATAAAATGAGGTCCAAGTCCAAAAATAGAACCTTATAGCACTGCTCCAGGTAAACCCTTCGCGATCGCGGGAACAGCTTCACGATCACGAAGCACAAAACTTCAATTGCTCAAAGACCCGTACGCGAATGCAGCCCTAGGTATGCCATCGCGATACTTGGCTTCACATACTTACGCGAATGCGAAGGTCAACCAACATGACATTCCCAGCCTAACTCAACACTACATGAACGCGTGGTCCTACACATGAACGTGAAGGCTAAAAGCCTCAACGATCGTGAACACGACTCCAATGCCGTGAATGCAAATAATAACGTCCAGCCAGCTCCCAGAATACTTTGCGATCACAATCCTCTTCACGCGATCGCGAAGAACACTCTCAGCACTAGAAAATCAAAGAAACTAGCAATCAACAACAAGGGGGAAATGGTTCGGAACCACCCCGAAATACACCCGAGCCCTCGGGGCCCCATCCGAGCATACCAACAAGTACCAAAATATAACACGAACCTACTCGAGGCCACAAATCCCATAGAACAATATCAAAACCACGAATCACACCTCAATTCAAGCAAAATGAACTATTTCAAATTTCATACTTCTGCCGAACACATCTAAACAACTCGGAATAACCTAAAATTTTGCACACAAGTCATAAATTATCATACTAACTTATTTCAAGGCTCGAATGCCCAAACGGACATCGATAACCACAAATTCAACTATGGGTCAAACTTATCAACTCTCCAAACTTCCAACTTTCGTCAATTAGCCTCAAAATCATCTAGGAACACCGGAATTCAAATCCGGGCATACACCCAAGTCCAAAATCACCATCCAGACCTAACGGAACCATCAAAACTCCGATCCGAGGTCAAATACACAATAGCCAAACTTGGTCAATACTTCTAACTTAAACTTCCAAGTTAAGAACTAAGTATTCCAAATCACTCCGAAATCTTCTTGTAACCAAACCAACCATGCATGCAAATTCGTAGTACATTATATGAAGCTACTCAATACCTTAAACTACTGAAAAAATGCTAATGCTCAAAATGACTGGTCGGGTCGCTACAACCCCTCAAGTAATCCAGAGTTTAAAATATAAAATAATGGGCAAAGATCCCGAAATAACCACTTAAATATACTGCTCAGGGATCCTATATGCGATCACCCTTGAGCCTTCGCAATCGCGGAGGGCAGCTGACCAGTGCTTCTATGCGATCGCGGCTCAACCCTCGCGACCGTGAAGACTATCTGGCCGACCCCCATGCTAACTCTACGCGAACACGAAAACACCTACGTGAAAGCTATGCTAGCCGACTTCCCGACCTTCCGCGATCGCGAACCACTACCTACGATCGCGAAGAACAACAACCCTCAGCCTCGATCCTTCTCTGCGATTGCATCCTTTCACCCACGGCTGCAAAGTGCACCAGTATGGCCAGAAATCCTTTTCTATGATCGCAAATTGCGCTTGCTAGACTCCCTTCTCTACGATTGCGAGACTCAGCTCCGGGATCACGAAGCACTGCTCAGTACTAGAAAATCAGCACCTGCAAAACACATAGAAATGGTCTGAGACCACTCCGAATCACACCCGATCCCCTGAGACCCCGTCTAATTATACCAATAGGCCTATATACTTTATACGAGCTTGTCCCACAGCTCGAAACATGAAAAATAATAACAAAATCAAGAATCAAAGATCAAATCCATTTCTTAACTTTCAAACTTCCTAACTTCGCCGAATGCGTCTGAATCACACTATGACATTTTGGATTACAATTAAACTTTGAACATAAGTTTGTTTCAACCATTAAGACTTATTCAGGGTCTCAAAACCACAATCAAAGCTCAGTAGCCTAAAAGTCAACTACCAGTCAAACTTAAGAACTCTCCAACTCTTCAAATTGCGAACTTTCGACAAATAGAGTCAAAATCTTCTAGGAACATCCAAAATCAAATCCAAACATATGCCCTGATGCCCAAGTCCAAAATCACCATACGAATACATGGGAACCATTAAATCCTGTTCCGAAATCATTTACTCAAAACCCAATCCTTGGTCAATTATCTCAACTTAAGCTTCCAAAATAAAACTAGGTGTTCCAATTCACCCTCAAACCTTCCCGAAACCAAATCAACTATCCCCACAAGTCATAAATCATCAAATAAACATACGAAAACATGAAATAGGGGAATGCGTCTCTAATATTCAAAACAACCGGCTGGGTCATTATAATGTGTCTTATAGTGCTATAATTCATATTTTATTTTCTTTACAATTGCGCGAAGCACAGATAAATTTACTAGTTCTACTACATATATGAGAGGAGTAGTATTCCACAATTTTGTGTTGAGGATTGTTGCACATTGCAGATAAAAAGTTAGACAATTGGGACGAGTTGGTCGCAAAAGTCATGCATTTTCTATTTTATTCGCATCCCTTGTCTCCAAATTCTTTTTTAATATTTATTTTTAGATTTAGGAATTTATCACTTTAAATTCTATCTTATTCTTACATAAATTAAACTACTGTGGGGTTATTTTAAAAGTGCATTCCGTTCAATGCTACTTTTAGCTAAGTTTAAAATGGATATTGACCAAAATCAAAAGTTGATCCGTTTTATTTTAGTTCCAATCTCACCATGACTCTTCCCTTTGATATTATTTATGATCCCACCACAATTAAGGAAACTTCATTTAATCATTCCAAATTGTAGAGTTCAAAAAATATGGTTAAGAATAAAGAAAATGGGCCCTCTAATGCAATTCGTGTCGAATCATCTGCTAGTTCATAGCTAGTACATTCTATAGACTAACTATCTTCACAGGGTGAGGAGCTACGAGCTCCTTTCGCCTTGTTTGAGCTCGCCAGACCCTACTTTATGGGATTTTACTGGGTCGTTATTGTTGTTGTTGTCATTTTGAGCTCGCCAGCTAAATTTTGACTTATGAACAAGCCTCTATCTTTCATATAATATTTGTTATAAAATACCCGCGTCGGAGTATCCTACAGTATGAGAAATTTATATTCAAATAATGATTGGCTAGTTAAATTGCCTTAATATTATCGGTAAAAATTTAAAATTACTAATACAAAAAGTAAAAACAACCCAAAGGCAAAACCAAAAATAATAGGAATGATTAGTAGTTAGTTCATCCAACTAGAAAAAAACACACGCGGCAGAGAGCACACTGTATACAAAGGAAAACATACACAATTTATTAGACACAAGATAGTACATATAGTCGCTTTGTTAACTCCGCCATTTCTAACGGATCTTTCGAAGCTCAAACATTCATTCTGCTATATCTATCTCCTCCGCCCATTTCTTCTCAAAATCTAATAAAATGCAGTCTTCAATTTCCCTCTCCTTCTCTTCGCCTTCCACAATTTGCAGATCCGACTGCAGCACAGCTGCCGTTGCCAACGGCAGTTTTCTCACGCCGCGATCGCTTCGATTCTGCGGACTGAGAAAAGAGGCGTTTAAGTCGTTGAATTCGAGCCATCCCATTCGTCTTACAAGGCATTGTTGTTCGAATAACAACAGAATATCGGCTTCTTCCGCAAATGGAGCTCCTTCTTCTTCTTCCAAGGCCAAGGGGGGCTTTGACTATGATTTGGTTATCATTGGAGCTGGTGTTGGTGGTCATGGTGCTGCTCTTCACGCCGTCGAGAAGGTAAATTACTTTTCTATTATTCAATTGTGTTACTCGTAGCTGAGAGGGGGTATATGTTTGTTCAAACTGGTGAAGGAATTTATAATTGGTGATCCCAAATGTAATTAGTGGAAACCTGAAGCTGTCTGGCTTTCCTTTCAGTTGAAGTTACACGTATACCTAGCTGGCTATAGTTTCATTGGAGTTTGCTTAACTTGATTTGGTGTAAACACAAGTTTTTACATAAAATGATTACTGACTTTATTAAGCAATAGAGGCTTAATTCAGCTATATTCGTGGACGTAGGTCTTGGATCATTCCTAATCTATGTCAAAGCACTTTACTTAAGGGCAGGGAATAGAAAATGGAAATGTACAAGAAATAACTGAAAGAAGAACAGAAAACATGCTGATACTTGTTGCTGATTGAGCGTCTATTTCTGTACGAAATGATAATTCTACTTCCAACTTGATGCAATCTCTTTTATGATTACTTGTGCAAAGACGAATGAATGGGAATTTGGGTTCAAACAACAACGTGGTTCCTTTCTTTTGCCAGTGTATATGAGCGAATAATTACTTAATATAAATATTTGTAGGGCTTAAAAACTGCCATCATTGAAGGGGATGTTGTTGGAGGAACATGTGTAAATAGGGGATGTGTTCCTTCCAAAGCCCTCCTAGCTGTGAGTGGCCGCATGCGGGAGCTTCAGAATGAACACCATATGAAATCTTTCGGTTTACAGGTACTTCTTATTCTTGCATCTCTACAAGCCCATATAATATTCACATTCTACATGATCTTTTTATGTAATTTGTATGCTGGTAAAATGATCTGATCCATTGGGTATTATGTTGTCCAATTAGAACATTACACCTCATGAAATAATGCGAAATGGAATAGTTTAAAAGCACATGTCAAATTTGAAACTCTAATTTTTAGCTTTTACCCTTCATAGTAGTTTAAGAGAGAAAGCCTGATAATGGTTTATTGCACCCCATGTTGTCCTTTTTTCTTTTGTGACTGAATCCTCCTTCATAACAAAAATAGATTCGTACTAAATGCTCACTGAATATGCACACAAAACCATTCAAAATCAGGCTTGAAGGATTAACACATATAATTTAGCTAAAGACTAGACACTTGTGTTTCTCTCTTCCTTAGATACTGTGATTTAATGAACTTAACACTATGAATTGTTGTTAACCGTAATTGTCATCTAGAGAGGAAGTTCTCTTGTGAAAGCTTATAGTACACTTTTTAACTTCATCTTGTGTATGCATGTTCTTTTACTCTTCTCAGTCTTAATTTTGACGTAATGTATCCAACCTTCCATGAAAGGTTGCTGCTGCTGGGTATGATAGACAGGCTGTTGCTGATCATGCAAATAATTTGGCCTCCAAGATACGTGGTAACTTGACCAATTCTATGAAAGCCCTTGGCGTGGATATATTGACTGGTTTTGGGACAGTTTTGGTAGGTCTAGATATTTATAAATTATTGTAGTGTACTACAGCTATCCTATTCGTCTGTATTCAACTAAATGAAGGTTGTGCTTAAATATTCAGGGTCCACAAAAAGTCAAATACGGGGATACTGTAATGACAGCAAAAGATATCATAATTGCTACTGGCTCTGTCCCTTCTGTGCCCAAAGGCATTGAGGTTGATGGTAAGTGCTTTCATAACCATTATTATCTATTTGATAAAGCACCCACCAACTGCATTAGCCAGTCTCAATGCAACGCTGTTTAGCTTGTTCTGTTCACCGGCTGCATGCTGAACCTTTTATAGTGCTATTAAATCACGGGTTGAGTGTTTGAATTTCAAGACACTGCTTAATGGGATGAACACTATTTAAATTCACTGTTGATGCTTTCAAATGAAAAGAAGTAATGAAAGTTGAAGCCTATTGTCCATTTGTTATGCAATGCTCCTGTTAAATAGCAAAGATACTGCTTGTAGAGGAACAACCTTGTCAACGAGATTGGGTTTGACTCTCTGCTATTGTTTCTTATGCACATACAATTGGACGGTACTTTTGATGAAACAAATTGGTTCAAAACTCTAAGACTCTTTTGTGATAAGAGTGTTCACGCATTTTGTGGTATTGCCTAAGCATCGGGATGTGTATTTACCTGCCCCATTAAGTTAAATGATCTGACAATGTGCAGAACATTTCGCTTCAGCAGTTGGAAATTTTTGTTGTTCTGTAACTACATGAGTTAATTGGAAATTTAAGTTCATTGGAGATAGAGATTTTGACCCGTCATTCGTTAAGTTAAACAGATACAGCGGTTTCGAAGATAAAGGAACCAGCATTAGCATCAAGAAAGAGAACTGATCAAGAAAGAGAACTGAAATTGGCATACACATTTCATTTTTTTCCCTTTTATTATTTCCTCCCTTCCTTCTATCCAGAACATCACTGAGAATTATTATGCTTGCCCTAGACCATTTAGAGCTTTTACATTCAGTTGTATCGTTGACTGATGCCAATGCTTGCTTTGCAGGTAAGACTGTAATAACTAGTGACCATGCACTTAAATTAGAATTTGTACCCAACTGGATTGCTATTGTTGGAAGTGGTTACATTGGACTAGAATTTAGCGATGTGTACACGGCACTTGGAAGTGAGGTATGAACCTTTTCTACATTATGCATCTAGCGGTTCTTATTTATTTATTGTTTTAAAAGATATTTAGCATATGCAATACAACTTCAATCATTTCATTTTCCGATTTTCTTTTAGATAATGGAAAAATGGAGAGGTTTTGTCTCCCCATGCTGACCATGGGATGAATTTACAGGTTACCTTTGTTGAAGCTCTAGATCAGCTCATGCCTGGCTTTGATCCTGAGATTGGGAAACTGGCGCAGCGGGTTCTTATCAATCCTCGGAAGATTGACTATCATACAGGTGTATTTGCGAGCAAGGTAATATATGCCACAACTTAGTTTAATATGAATGCCATTCTGAGAGCAAGTTATCTTAATTTGTCCCACCTTATTCAGATAACTCCAGCAAGGGATGGAAAGCCAGTGCTAATTGAGCTTATTGATGCAAAGACGAAGGAACCAAAGGATACTTTGGAAGTAAGTTGTAGCTCTTTGGTTTGACGAGTTCTTTAACATTGTTAAATCTAATATATACTTGTCGACTGAGGTTGTACATTTTTTAGTGCTACAACATGATTAAGATCATTATTCTTAAAATGGTTAACTACTTTTTAGTTCAGGAAAAGTCAAGACAATCATATCAATTAGGAATTATAATATATGTCATAATAGCTAGGAAACCCAAGAATTAGGAAATTTTAATTTAAGACTCCTTTATAAGGAGTTCTTCTCGGAAAGAAAAACTCTTATATAAGGAGCTCCCTTGTGTGTTCACCATCATTTTCAATAAGAAATTTTTTCTCTTTCTTCACTTTTCACTTGATTCAGACTTGTGTGGCTTCAGTCTAGCAGCATGCAAAAGTTTTTCTTTGTAACACTTAACACCCTCCTGCACGCCCAAGACTGGACATTTGGAGCATGAACAACATTACATAGGGTCCCAACGTGAGGTAAATTAAGATTTCAAATGGGCCTAACTCTGATATCATTTTCGGCCTAACTGAACCACTAAAGTTAGCTCATGAGATGAGGATTGCCCAAAATAATATAAGGAGATAACAACCATTCCATCAACCAAAGTGGGTCACTTGACAAATGCAACTTAAAAGTTCTATATAAGGAACTAATCTTGTAAATTTCAACAAGTAACTTCTTTTTTCTCTTTTCACTTAAAAGTCCTTGGTTCCTGCAACTTAAAAGTCCTATAAGGAACTGTAATCTAAGATTCATCAGTAGTATTGCCTGTAACATAGAGACTTCGTTACACGACTACGCTTAAAATGTTGATATTTCATAAGCACTTTCTGATTGTTAAAGAACACTGTTGTATGTACAAGTATAATGAATATCAGAGCTTAATGGTAGACGCTGGAGCTTACGTAAATGGTAGAAGGTGAAAACGGGATCAAACATCTGAAAGGTTAAGCAGCAAATTTGGAGATTAGGTGTTATTGATAAGTTGTACTCCTAATAAACTCTAAAGAGGGAGACTTTTGCTGCAATCCGAGCTATAGACAGTTTTAATATTTTCAATCAAAAGGACTGTGTTGCCCACATGTCTTATCCCCTAACAATGACTTTTCTTGCTGTCACTAGTGTCTTACATGAAACCTGAATTACATTATTTTACTGCAGGTAGATGCTGCTCTTATTGCAACTGGAAGGGCTCCGTTTACGCAAGGACTTGGCCTGGAAAATGTTAGTTGCATTAGTGTTAACTGAAGCCCCTGGGGAAACTAACTTGAATGATTTGATGACAATTTATAGTATTGGTTATCACTTGTCAACAGATAAATGTTCAAACACAACGTGGATTTGTTCCTGTTGATGAACGCATGCAAGTCATTGATGCAAATGGGCAGCTGGTAGGCATTATTTTATTCCTTTTTGCATTTCTCGACAGTTTTCTTTCCGCTTTTAACCCTTTGTGCTTGATAGGTTCCTCACTTGTACTGCATTGGTGATGCAAATGGAAAAATGATGCTTGCACATGCTGCAAGTGCACAAGGAATCTCTGGTAAAATGAAATTATCAATCGTGACACGGTAATTGAGCAATTTTTTGATAGTTGTTTAACTTGTGGCCTTGCCTTCTTTCATAGTTGTTGAGCAAGTTACCGGAAAGGACCATATCCTGAATCATTTAAGTATTCCAGCAGCATGCTTTACCCATCCTGAAATCAGTATGGTCGGATTGACGGAGGTATTATCATCTCTTTGAATATTCCTCTTTGTTTGATGTTGCCCTTTTTTCTTATGGGTATGGTCTTTTCTTCTTTTATAATCTTTAGTAATTATAAGGAAATTTAATTCCCTAACAATATCTACACGTGGAACATGGCTGCATGGAAACCTCCACACAGATTTGATAATGTAGTTACATTATAGGTTGGAGACAGATCATGCCATCCATTTCTGGGACTGTTTGTAAATTGCTCTGCTGCTGGATGTTTTTGTTCTCATGCTTGCCTCGTTTTGTCACACAATGCTTCTGTACCCTTAGAGAAGTACGCATGCTTGTGACGACGGAAAAATATTTCCTGAGTGAACGATTTTTTGTTTTCTTTGTGATAGCACTTAAATATAGAGTTTTGATTGTATAGTTGCAATTATGCAGCCTCAAGCGAGAGAAAAAGCTGAGAAGGAGGGCTTTGAAATTAGTATTGCCAAGACTAGTTTCAAGGCTAACACAAAAGCTCTTGCTGAAAATGAAGGGGAAGGACTTGCAAAGGTAGCACATTATCGTTTTTCAAGGATTGCTGATGTTACATGATTTATTCTATATGTTACCAGCTGCTTCTTTTGTTGTTTCCATTTTCCTATCGTTTTAAGATGTTTCCTCCCCTGCAGAGTAGTGTCTTATGTGATCACTGAAATTCTTGTTAAATGCAGTTGATTTATAGGCCTGACAACGGTGAGATCCTCGGAGTCCACATCTTTGGAATGCATGCTGCTGATCTAATACATGAAGCATCCAATGCCATAGCTCTGGGATCACGCATACAGGTATGCATTGCCCTGCAAATTGCGTTTTCCTCCCAGTACTTACCATTTGTTGGAAAGGCTCAAGTAAATGGTTACCTGCAGTATGTTTGATGCTTTTTCTCTTTTTTTTTTTTTTTTTTTTGGTTTGTGGCAATGGGAGATGGAGTTAACATGTTTTCTTTGGATTATGAGCTTTAGTAGATCCTTGCAAGCTTCAATGAGTGTTGTATCCGATCTCTCATGTGAGAAGTCATTTATTCGGTCAAGAGTCTTCTCATGTGTTTTACATTTGTTATTGCATTTTACAGGACATTAAGTACGCTGTTCATGCACATCCAACCTTGTCTGAAGTGATTGATGAACTCTTTAAATCAGCAAAGGTAATCTCTTTGTGTCCTGTGTAATGCTGGTAGAATGTCTTGAACAAGATAGTACCTCTTTAGGGATGTTAAAGGGGTCATAGTGCATTTGCCTCACAAGAATTGGTATTAGACTAGGACATTCTAGTCCTCCTTTGATTGTTAAAAGTGATCTGGGGGGACCTCTATGGTTATCGTAAAATTGCCCGGAAGCTTGGCTTATTCTTTGATCTCCAGATTCAGTAGAAGGTCTGATGCTTATATATATTAAGGTCTTTTTGTCCTGAGCATGGAGATCTTAAGCTAATGAATGGCGGGGTGATATTAAGGTCTTTTTGTCCTGAGCATGGAGATCTTAAGCTAATGAATGGCGGGGTGCTTACAAGAATCCAGAGCCGCATGTACAAGTTGCAGGTGGGGAGGTAAATCTCCCTTAGGTTGTGGAGTGAGATTCTCTTATTCTTCACTGGTGTATTAAATCATCTATTTCTCTCAAGAGCATGCTCAAACATATTAGGTAGTCTACAAATTTTCGTGTCTCTCTTATGTCAGGTATGATTGGAAATTGATTTTTAAGCTTTTGCAATAATATGTACACATTTTATGGCAGGTTAAAACTAACGCTTCTAGTCCAATTGCTGAGCCAGTTGCAGCATAAGCTTCAACAGCCGCTCTAATTGAGACTTAAGTTAATAGGATTTTGCAGAAGCTCCCCAATAGAATTTATTGGCTCTATCTTCTCATGTTGTGCATTACCGCTTCAAAGAGGTGCTTTTTTCTAGCTTTTTTGAATTGTAGACATCATTAAATGCCTAATGAGTGTCTCAGAAATTCAATTTTGTCTTCTTTAAGTTTATTAGCTTAGATTTGTGCTAGGTCTAGTTGCTTTTAAATGAGCAACGATATCAATATGAAAGATGATCTGTATTGTTTAAATCGACATTGGCAGTGTACAACTTTGAGTCACTGCTGCTGTTTGTGTACTGTACGAATATTGTATGAGGATTTAGTACGTACTAGATACGATAGTTGAAATTTTAGAGGGTTTCAAGTGAGTTCTGCACAGGTTGCTGCCATGGTTGTTGCTACACAAACCAGCCCCCTCTTTTTTGCATGCGTACTCGCTGTCCCAGGGGCGGCTCAAGCTCATATGTGGCCTAAAGCCAAAATTTATATGAGGCCTAATTTTTTTAAAATAAATTATAATATATAATTTTATTTGAAGTCTATTCTTATAGCTTTTTGAGATGCAAAGTTGTTAATAATTTTTTTTATAATCGATTTCTTCCAATAATTTATTTGCAATTGATATTATAGCCAACCCATTTAATCTTTCTTGAGACATTATTTATCTTAGCTAAGATTTATCAATTTTAATTTTAAAAAACTTGTTATCGCTGAGGAAACTGTTATAGGAACTAATAACACTATTCTATAAGCAATATAAACATTTGGAAAAGAATCAAACCCTTTTTATTTGATTGAGTGTATAGTATCTTCTATTTGTACTATTTTTTCTTGTCAAATCAATTTCAATTCACACTTTAGAAAATAATTTCATACTACCCATTATTTTAAGTAAGCCAAACGATTACTTTATTTACATATCTAAAAAAAAATTCTTTCATTTTTAAAAAGTTTACTTTTGTACTAAAAACTCTAAATTTTATTTTATTTAAATAATTATATATATATTATTTTTAAAAATGGGGCCTCCCAAATTTGAGGGCCTAAGGCACAAGCGACAAGGCATTACATACAAGCTAAACGCTGAATTGGAATAGCGACTAAAGCTAGCCTTCTTGGACTTGGACTAACTAAATGTCCAGCTAGCCAGAGGCGGTTCCAGGTTTTCAAAAGGATGAGTGTACTATTGTGAAGTGGTAGATTTAGAATTTATATTTGACTAGTTTAACTTTAGTCATTTACCATGACCCACTACACTTTTAAAATTATAGGTTCAAAATTATATACTTTTTGAAATTTTTGTAATTTTCACATATATATATCTATACTCTGTGCAAAAAACGAGACCGTTCAGAGTGGGATTTGAACTGTCAATTCTCCTTGTAGAGGTGCACCCAATAATAGTTGCACTATAATAGTCTTTGAGCATGGGTTCACGTACATATATTTAAGTAATTTTGAAAAAAATATGACATTCTTATTCATGGTTTAGGGAGGGGAGCGTGAACCCATACCCCTCAACTTGGATACGCCTCTGTGTCCAGGTGGTTCAGTTGGAACTCCAACATATCCTTCTTAAGTTGGAGGATGAATGAACTCTCGACTTGCTTAAAAAGGTTGTACCCTGAACACCATCAAGGGAAAATGTCACGACCCGGATTTCCCACCCTCGGGAATCGTGATGGCGCCTACTCGTGAAAGCTAGGCAAGCCGACAATCTCAATTTCTGCTACCATTATAATTAACCAAACAAGAACAGGTAATAGTCAAAACAAGATAATTAAGAAGTGCGGAAAATGATATAACAGTGCCACAACTCAAGTACATAACTACCCCATAGACCTGGTGTCACAATCCATGAACGACTAAGATTTACTACAAATACAAGTCTAAAAGACATACAATTGTTCTCGAAGTAGAAGAGACAACAGAAAACTAAAACGGGGAAAGGGGACTTTAGGCTCTGCGAACGCCAGCAGATCTACCTTGGTCTCCCTGGACTGAAGGCAGCTACCTCAAGCTATTCACAAGGTCCGGCACCGAAATCTGCACAAAAAGTGTAGAGTACAACATCAGTACAACCGACCCCATGTACTGGTAAGTGTCGAGCCTAACCTCAGCGAAGTAGTGACGAGGCTAGGACACGACAACCATATAAACCTGTGCAGTTAAGTCATATACGAACAGAACAATAATAACAGGAAATAACAGATAAAGATGGGAAGAGGAATCTGCTGCGGGGAATATCAAATTCTAATAGTAATTCAATAGAGAAGCATAATGAACACCATATTTGTCTCAACAGTAATAATGAAACAATAACACATGCACGACATCACCCTTCGTGCTTTTACTCTCGTCCTCACCATAAGAAAACAACAGAAATGGCACGGAATCACCCTTCGTGCATTAACTCTCATAATCATGGCACGGCATCACCCTTCGTGCATTAACTCTCACAATATCGACACGACATCACCCTTCGTGCATTAACACTCACTCACAATATCATGCACGACATCACCCTTCGTGCATTACACTCTTCCTCACCCAAACAATAGAAACAATACATCCCGATAAGGGATTCAACAATAGAAACAATAACATCCCGGCAAGGGAATCAGCTATAACCAATCTCGTTTCAACAGTTAATTCTATGAAATAAGTCTCAACTTGAGTCAATACTCATCAATGATCAAATAGTCAACAATATCATAAAGCTTGCTCAACATAGAGAAGCATCATTTTAAGCATGAACAGTACATGATAAGAGACATAACGGTCATAATATAAGATTCACTTGTATGCTCGACACCAACGTATAGATACTCGTCACCACACCTATACGTCGTACTCAACACTAACACGTAGAAAACAAGACCACAACACCTATTCCCTCAAGCTAAGGTTAGGTCAAACACTTACCTCAATTCCACGGACAAAATCAAGCCTCAATTACCGGTTTACCTCTCGGTTCCACTTCCAATCCGCTTGTATCTAGTCATAATTTACTTAATAACATCAATAAATGCTAAATAAACCAATTCTAATGCATGAATATAGATTTCCCAATATTTTCCCCAAAAAGTCAAAAATCGACCCCGGGCCTGCTTGGTCAAACCTCGAGTTTCGAACCAAAACCTGATTACCCATTCACCCACGAACTCAAATATGCAATTGATTTTGAAATCGGACCTTAATTTGAGGTTCAAATCCCCAAAATTCGAAAATCCTAATTTCTACCCAAGAACACCCAATTTTCCATGAAAAACCCTAGATTTTGAAATGAAATAGATTGAAGAAAAAGAGTTAAGCTTCATTTACCTATGATTTGGGGAAGAACTTGCTCTAGAAAAATCGCCCTTAGGAGTTTAGGTTTTGAAATTTTGAAGAATGAAGTGAAAATCCCGTCCAAGGCCCCTTTTACTCAACTGCAGATGTCGCATTTGCGACCTGAGCTTCGCATTTGCGAAGCTCGCAAATACGAGGAAAGTATTGCAAATGCGAACCCTCTCTGCTGCAATCGCAAATGCGACCTTTTGTTCGCAAATGCGAAGTCCCTCCTAGCCTTGTTTCCTTCGCAATTGCGAAGAAAAGCTCGCAAATGCGAATAAAGCTGGCCAGGGCTTCTTCGCAATTGCGATAAAGTCCCTCGCAATTGCCAAGCCTGACAGGCTTGCAATTGCGAAGCCTGACCTTGCAATTGCGAGATCAGAGCCTGCAACAACCATTTCTCTAAGTCCAAACTCACTTCGTGGCCTATCCAAAACTCACCCGAGCCCTCGGGGCTCCAAACCAAACATGCACGCAAGTCTAAAAATATCATACGGACTTGCTCGTGCGATCAAATCATCAAAATTCCAAAAATCCTGACAGGCTTGCAATTGCGAAGCCTGACCTTGCAATTGCGAGATCAGAGCCTGCAACAACCATTTCTCTAAGTCCAAACTCACTTCGTGGCCTATCCAAAACTCACCCGAGCCCTCGGGGCTCCAAACCAAACATGCACGCAAGTCTAAAAATATCATACGGACTTGCTCGTGCGATCAAATCATCAAAATAACATCAACAACTACGAATTTAACCTCAAATTCATGAAATTCATAAGATAGTTCAAAATTCCCATTTTCTCAACCTAGGGCCCGATTTATATCAAACCAACTCCGATTCTTACCAAAGATTCGACTTAAATATTATTTTAAACCTGTACCGAGCTCCGGAACCAAAATACGGGCCGGATACCATCAAAATCACACACCATTTCATTTCCAAAAATCCTTATATTTTCCAGCAAACAATTTTCTTTAAAAATTCTTTTCTCGGGTTTGGGACCTCGGAATTCGATTCCGGGCATACGCCCAAGTCCCATATCTTACTACGGACCTTACGGGACCGTCAAATCACGGTTCCGGGTCGGTTTATCAAAAATGTTGACCGAAGTCAACTTTAATCAATTTTAAAGGCCAAATTCAATATTTTTCTTAAATTTCACACAAAAGCTTTCCGGAAATGCACCCGGACTGCATACGCAAATCGAGGTGAAACAAAAAGAGGTTTTTAAGGCCTCGAAACACAGATTTGACTTCTAAAACAAGAGATGACCTTTTGGGTGATCACATAAAATATGAATTAACCTATTAGTAAGCTTATCTATGACAAAATATGCATAACTCAATATGCTAGGTACACTTGTGAAAAACCAGGTTCATGACAATGTGCGTAACAGCGATTGTCGGAATATATATATGTTAACCGGAGCTTGATAACAACTGAAAGAATTGTTAACTCTAAACCTAGAAATTTAAGCCATAACTTTTTTCCATTGCCCTATATTTAGCATTTGCAGAAGATAAAGAATATTGTTGCTATTCTTGGATTTCCAATAAATTGAACTGGAGTAACATGATAAAGTGGCCAGTAATGAACCTCCCAGAAGTAGTGCATGCTACCTAGTCATTCACGGAAGAAATTAATGTAAGGTCCCCAAATATTTTCTTGGATATTGAACTGCTCATCAAGGAGCAAGCAATCTATGCAACGTCATTCCTTGTAATGTAAAACATTATCAACATAAACTGCAACTTGGAGAGCAACTATCTGAAAACCTATTTAAGGCCGTAAATTAAAGAGACTTTTAATTGTAGCTTATGTTATATACAAGTAGATATGGAGAATAAGAAGAAACTACTTTGTAGACCTCTTCGTGGAGATCCCTATAAAGCAAAGCATTATTTACATCTACCTAAAATAATGTTCCTTTATTTTTTATTGTAGCCATAATACACTTGATGTGGTCGTTTAAAGTCTCAGTGTAATCAAATCCATCCTGTTGAGTGTCTCATATTATCACAAG